AAAACCCACTTGCATCATCTCAAAGGACAATGACATTGGATTTTCTGTGAGCTGAATTTGGTGAAGACAACAAGACACCACATGAAGACTCTCAATAGTCACGTAATATCCACTGTGTGTTAGCCCACCAAACGTGAAGCATTCACATTAGGCACGTGGTCATCCAAAGCTTTTTGTGTCAAGAGTACACGCTGCTGATTAGAAACTTTGGGCCAATGGAAATCCTTCAAGCCCATTGCTAGAGAACAGAAAGCGGCAGAGGTGCAGAAGCAACTCCCATTTGGGGTCAATTCATAAAACATCTCTATAGTTTGTTTCTTTAAATCTTATCTGTGCACAAATAAACACAAACATGCTGACAAACTGGTTGAGCAGCTGGTGTGGTTAACAGCAGAAAAATCCCTGCACTGTCTTCCTATAGCTGCTTGTTTCTGTCTCACACAGTTTATACCCAATTAACCCATAACAGGTCTTTACCAAGGCAGGAATGATACACAGCAAAGCAGCTGCTAAATGCTCCAAGGCAAGAGGTTGGGGTGGAGGGGAAAATAGAAGTCCCATCAACTATTTGGTGGGCACTGAATTCATAGGAATCCTGTGGAACTAAGGGATGGGATAACTCATTCACCATGCTGGAAACTCAGGACTGCAAGAGCAGTGAAAAGACAATAAGAAGTGCTGTTGTAGGGGAAGGAATGAACACAAGAGGAACAGTGAACTGTGTAGTCATCAGCCATGGTAGGACCAAATGCAGCTTGGCTGTCATATCAATTACAAATGAGATAGCAGTGACCATCACAAAGCAAAGCTCTGGACATCTGGAACATATCCTCATACGAGACACGATTAAAGTCCAGTAGCATTCCCAGTGCTGAGAAGTGGTGGGAAGGGAGGGAACAGACAATGGAAAATACTTAAGGCAGTGTTAGAAGGAATAAGCGCCATGAGAAAGGATGGAGATGTGTGGACTGATTTTTCTGTACAATCTTTTTCTTCCTTCATTTGCTACTTCCAATGAAGATGAACAATCATTCCCAAGGAAAAAAAAAATAAATTAAAAAAGAGTAAAAGATTGGAAAAGGGAATTCCTAAGAAATACCTTAAAAGAGAAGGAGCAATTTCAGATCCAAACATCTCATTCTTATGCATCTTGCGGGAGAAATACACAGGCTTTGCCCTCTCATGTGAATACACTACTTGGTTTTGAGTTACTATTTTAAAGTCACAGAATGGTTGGAGTTGGAAGGAACAAAAACTAAAGGCCACCACTTCCCACAGCCAGTTCATTCCCAACCCTCACTGTACTATTGCTTCCCCTCCCCCCCCTCCGAAACACAAGAAAACTGGATCCAAAAATCTTTCCCTCACATTTTATTGATAGTAGTTTAAGTAAAACAAACAAAATCAGACTAACACCAGCCAAACACTCTTGAAAAAGCAAAAGCAGGGATTATTTTACAGCAATACGCCCAAACAAGGAGTGCTCCAGCAGCCTCACAGGATTAACAAGGAGCAGAGATATTCATCTGTTTTAATTATAGCTCCCAAACAGACCCTGGACCTACTATCACCTCTTGCGATGAGTCATCTGCAAGATGTCAAGAACTATGCACTACCTCACAGAACTCTCAGACCACCATCCGCTTAGTTAGATGCTTTAAACCTCAGTTTTGTAGCATCCAAACTTCTCTTTTCTAGCCTTTCCTCCTGCAAGTCCCACAGCCCCATCAATCCAGTAGCTTCTGTTCCCAGAGCAGTTGTGTCTGTTTTCCTGCAGCCTGGTGAGAACAGACAGGACCCGAGATAATTAAATAAAAACACAGGAACTGCATTATTTATTTTAAAGGAAAACGTGTTTTCTAGGAAGAAAGTGCTTTATTTGGGCAAATCTCTAAAGCTGTTTATCAGCTTAAACTCATTATCTGCCCATATGGTCTTAGCACTGTGGGTAGAAAAAAACCACCCTGGGCATGCACGAGCTGGTGAAATGTCATCTGCCCTTTTGCCAGAAACCAGGATTTTTGCATTGACGTCAGATTGGGATCCTTGCCACAAGCGAAGGGCCACCATAAGGATAGTCATAATATTTTAATTATGAAGGGATCTTACAGAAGGCAGGGGCAAAGCAAGAAAAGCCATTCACAACAAAGTCACTTGATTCACTGTTTGCCTCCTCTGCTCTTTTTGTTTGGGGAGGAGGGGTGGGGAAAGAACAACCTAACTTAGAAAGCAAAGGAAAACAAAAAGGCAAGAGAATGAGACACGAGAGACAATAAACACACATCAAAGCTGAAGATGGCTCCACTTCAACTGCCTACAGTATGCAACCAGGGATAGATTAAGGCAAAGATAAAAGGTGCTAGGAGGGAAAATACTACCGCTTCCCTTGTTCAGCCCTAATGTTGAGAGAAGCCAAGATCCCAGCTGGCTCTGCTGAAGCACACACCATAGACCTAGTTTTAGAGAACCCCACATCTATCCACCCGCCGCTGGGGACCAGTTCCATGCAGGGAGGTGGTTTGAAGCCCTTCCTGCTCCCCCATTGAGCTGCTGCAGTGAGCGGGAGCTGGGTTTATTGATTCTGCGAGTCACAGTTAGCCACGGGCCGCAGGACCAAAGGTTTAGCACAGGACATTAAACCTGACAGTCTGAGCTGTCAACTGGGTTATTCTGGGGAGGGAGAAACAAATTGAAGCCACAGTAACAGATGCTTCTCATGTTTTATGAACTGCAGTATTATTCCTGGTTACAGATACAGTTTCTGCCTTTTAGAACAGACCTGCAGTGTTGCGTATATGGAGTTGTTTGAATCAAACAACTTGGCAGAGAACTTCAGGACAGATCAGCATTTTCATACACACACAATGATTCCCGTTTCCCTTTCGCCCCACCCTGAGAAGCATAATACACGTTAAAGCAGCCAAAAATGAGATCAGGATAGAGTCATTCGTTGCCATCAGCTAAGGCGAGGATGCAAACACTCAGACCCCCTCCTCAAACACACTCAACCTCTTCTCTGAAGGAATGAAGTTGCTGGGATCTGCTCTAAGTTGTAAAGCAAGCCTGGAAACGGAAGGCTGGTGCTCTTCCCAGGATGTCTTATCCTTACAGCCCAAGGGGAATAAAGGGATTTCCCCGTGATTTACAAAGGAAAGCTGAAACACTCTGCGAGCCAAAGCCACCCCCAAAGCTCACCCTGCGCTCCGCACCTGCGGGGCAAGCGGAGCCTCGCATAAGGAGAAGAAAGCCCTCTCGTGGAAACGGCCAGCATCGCGCACCCCAGACCTCCACCGACCTCCACCCTCGTCCGCGGCCCGCTTAGAGCATCCCCCCGCTCCCCGTTATCCCTCGGGATGCGGACGGATGCTCTGCCACCAGCGGTCCTTCCCCAAGGCACCGCTACCCCTTCATTCCTCTGCACCAGCACCTCTCTCTCGGTCTTAAACACACAACGTGGGTACCTGAGCCATTCGTGGACAAGGCCTGCTCTGCAGAAAGGGTGGGATAATCGGTAGAAATCCTGTCTGGATTTTGCTGGCAGCCTGGAATAGCTCAGAAAATTTCAAGCTCTTCCTTTCTTCTTCTCGCTCCGCTACGCTTAAATTCATGGCAAAGTGTGATGTGTGGTATTCCAGCCTCTGCCAACAAAAGCTGTACCTCAGCCACAACAAATACAGGAACATTAACTGCCTTCCAGGGAGGGTCAAGCGTTTGAATCAGTTTAACATCCTATACAAATACTTTCAGTGAAAGCAGATGATACAGAAGCACTTCTGCACATTATGCTACATGGTCACATTTGAAAGATTCTCCTCAAAAGATGAGAAATATAAAGAACACGCTTATTCCTCCCTCTCATTTGCTCTCTGTATACTTCTGAGACAGAACTTACAAAACCATAGATACCAGAATAAGCATTACACTGGTAGAATCCATCAAACACTCAGGCACATCCTGCTGAATTAAGGCAACTCTTTACTAACTCCACACGCTTTTCACCCACTGGTATAATCCAGGGCGAGCCTGGGCTCACAGTGTGTGCACGCATCCTGCCGGGCACATAGCCCTTGCCAGCACACTTCTGCCCAAGCAGCTTTGGTAGCCACTGGCTATTGAGTGAAATACGTGCCTAGAGCCTAGGAATCGCATTCAGATTTCCTCTTGTTACAGAAACACAAGCAGCAATCAGGCTGGGCTTGCTAACTGCTGAGGGAAGGGCTAAAGGAAACGGGGAATTATGATTACTAGACTTCACAGAAAGCCACCCAAGTACAATGCATCTGAAAACGCTGTCTCCTTGCTCACTACGATATTTAAACACTAAAGTTATGGGAAAACTTCATAGTGCACAGCCCATAAAACCCGCACGTCTCGGTAGGGTTGTACCTCACTAACGTGTCCCCGCTGCTATAAATCCCTATCAGAAAGCAGGGACCGACCCAGGGTGGCGGGACTGCAAAGTCTGAAAGAGAAAACTCCTACCGAGCCGGACCCGAGTCAGAAACACGGGGAACTCTCGCACCCCCCATCCAAACTTCAACGGGTAGAACGCCCCACAACGCTGCGAACGGGCGGCAGAGCGCCCCGGGCACAGCCCGCAGGCACCGACGCCTCCTCCGCTTGCCTTTAGGAGGACGCGGGGGGTGATAAAATAGAGACTACTAAAGGGGTACTAAGGGTATAGAATGCTCCGAGACACCCCCCCAGACACTCCCGGTACCGACGGGGAGAGCCTGCGGGCCCCGAGAGGTGCTACCGGGGGGCTCGCTCGGCTGCTCGGGGGGAGCGTTTCAACTCCCACTCCCGGTGTCCCTGGAACCCAAGCGGCAGCGGAGGGAGCCGAGCCCCTTCCGTGCGAGCCCCAGCCGGCTGCGTCCCAGTGCTGCTGCCCCGGGCAGGGGGACGGAGCCTCGGCAGAGCTCGGCGGAGGAGCGGCTGCTGGGGGCACCCCGAAGCGAACCCCGACCCGACCCGACCCGATGCGAGCCCCGTCCCGTTACCTGCCGGCGGCTCCCCGCCCCGGGGGACACACGGAGCTGTCGGCGGGCGGCTCCCGGCGGCGCTGGGCTCCCACTGCCGTGCGCGCCCCGTGCCCGGCAGCCGCGGAGCGCCGGAGCGCAGCGCAGCCGGCTCCGCCCCATGGCCGTGCCCCTTCTCCGCCCAGCCCGGCCCTCCCCCGGCAGGAAACTTCCCAGGAGAACCCCCCCAGCTCGGCTCTCGCTCCCTTCGGGGGCTCCGGGGAGCGGCAGCCCGAAGGGGTGGCCCAAGGGGACCCTTCCGCTCGGGGGTGAGTCGTGAGCACGATGCCCCGCGGCTCTAGGGTGCTCCAGTAACTCCTGATGGGCTTCGGATGCGCTGGGAGTGCAAAAGAAAGAGAGCGAGAAGGTCGCTTGTTGGCCGGTATTTGGGAGCTTTCTAAACGCGCTGGAAGATGTGTCAGAGCCGCTTCAAACAAAGGATGACACTGCAGGATTGGAAAGGCTGTCAAAAAAAAGCCTACGGAGCCAAATGAAGAGCCCGCGTTTGTACCACTGGGAAAGCCAACCCGCCTAAGCCTGGTTTCCTAAGGAAAAATGGCTTCTAAAGTTGTGCTCCCTGTGCGTGCCAGTAACTTCTGAGGCAACGATTTCAACTAAGTTTGATAACTACAAAGCAGGTAACTGTGTAGAAGAGATCATCTGTTTTATTGCTCCTGCAAGATCCCGAATCCAAGAGCATCCAACACACACCACGAAGGGGTCAACATGACTCTCCCCTAAGGAAACCCCACTTCACTGGTCCTAATGCTCACAAAAGTCCTTGCTGTGTTGGAGAGAAAGAAAGAGGGAGGGAAAAGTGTGTGGAAGTCACACTTACTCTCAGTAGCAATGGGTGGCCCAGGAGCAAGATGTGAGTAAACTGGACTCTGTGCTCACATGTAACAAGAGAGGGAATAATCCCGCAATGACCAGATCCTGCGAGTGGTCCTGGGTAGATGCATCCTCATGCTGGTGACATGTCCTGGTTATGATGCTCCATAAGATGGGGGATGCAGATTTGGACCCTGAAAGCTTATTAGAACAAGAGACTAAGCATGCAGAGCAAAGGACAAACCCAGCATCCCTGTTTAAACATCTCTGCTAATGCCTCATATATCTGGTAATGAACAGTTACAATGCTCCCCAGGTACAGATATTTGTTGGCATTGGCTTGCTGTCTTTTCCTAATGTAATCTAAAAATAGGGAGATACACACAGAGTTGAACAGCGATGGTCCCAAATCTATTTCTGTGTAACAGCAAAAACTAGATCGCACAAGCAGATCGTCTTTGTAATGTATGTTGTGTTACAGCCTATTGCTTGAGACAGGCAATCATTTCAAGGTCTGGTATTTTCTTGTAATGTTTGGGCCCGTGTTTTTCCATTTCTGTTTCACTGTTCATTTATTTGTGTCACACAGCATGATCCATGGTCTCCTTGGTCTTTGTGGCAGAGTAGGGGATTTCCATTTCTTTATTAGACACAGTTTGACACGAGGTAATAGCCTTGTTCCTCATTTGATTCCTCTGCAAAGGACTCCGAGTGCTATTTTCCAGGAGGCTGGCTTTTCATACCCCTTGAGCAGCAGATCATGGCTCTTTCAGGCTGAGATTGCATTTGTGCTTTGCAAAGCTGTCAGACTGAGCTCTGTTGGTCCTCCTTCTGCACTCCCCATAGCAATCTCATGTATTTACGCCTGCACTCTCACAGGACCATTCCAGGACCACACATGCCAGGCAGTTTTGCTCTGTAGAATCATGGAATCTTGGAATGGTTTGGATTGAAAAGGGCATTAAGATCATTAAGCCACAGGCAGGGACATCTTCCACTAGAGCAGGTTGCTCCAAGCCCTGTCCAACCTGGCCTTCAACACTGCCAGGGATGGGGCAGCCACAGCTTCTCTGGGCACCCTGTGCCAGTGCCTCAGCACTCTCACAGAGAGCAATTTCTCTCTAATATCTAATCTAAATCTCCCCTCTTTCAGTTTAAAGCCATTCCCCCTTGTTCTTCACCTTGCACCTAGTGAATAAGCCATGAAAACGTGTGTGTGTGTCTGTCTGACCACCCAACTCCTGCCCCTGTTTGGTGGCCTAATGCACAGACCTCATGCACAGGGTTTCTAGGAAACCAAGTAAGCTCAGTCCTGCCCCAAACACCACAGCCTGAAACAGCTCCAGGCTCTATAGACAAAATCCCTTCCTCATCAGGGACACTCTTGGCATTTTTCCACCAACTGCCCCCCTTCCCCCTCCTTCCAGTGACATCATTATTGGGATATTTTGGGGGAAAAAAGCACAGGGCAGTGTATCCCAAGACTTGTTTTCTGTTTTCCATCCTGATGCTGTGGAACTGGTTTGTAAATGAACAAAAGTCAACTATATGTGACCCCAGCTTTCAGATCCTCCACATGCTCGCGTAGACACAATAGTGCTCTTACATGCTCAACTGTGCAATTTAAGGGGCCACCATTGAAAATTAGCTTCCCGAGTTTATAGTGCTTTCACTGTGGCGAAGGAACTGCTTTGTGAATCCCAGCCAGCACTGAATTGAGTTTTGCATTTAAAGCTGGGGTTTACGTTCTTTGTTACGTGTAAAGGATATAGTATATCCTCCGTGAACCTACAGCGTAAGAGGAACCTTGGATAAAACCTATTTAATGATAGTAACCTTGCAAGAGGGCTGGTTTACTTGTTTGCTGATAAATAAATTGCTGAATTAAAATGGGAACGAGGAAATAGTGCCATGGTCTAGCCCAAAACAGTAATTGCCACTTTCTCCTGTTTCAGAAGTGCCTGGAGCTGCAGCCCTCCCACTGTCTGAAGGGTCTGTCCCTTGAATATTACACCACATACACCATAATCTGAATAGTCTCTCCGTTATACTTCTGATAGGTTTAGGTTTTCAGAAGCAGAAACCACAATGTGGGGAAGCTGTGAACAAATTGGGGCAGGTTCCTCCCTGTTGTAACCGTATGGATGTTGAGAGAATTGAATTTCACTCCGTACAGCTAGCCCACTGCTTATCAACCCTTTCCTGTCTGTGCTTCACATCTTAGTTCTCAAGTTCACAGTTTCTCTGTGGCTTCCTTCCCCTGGCCTCCCCACCTTTCCTCCCACATCCTTTGCCTGCAAACTCCTCCCTTTCTTATCCCATTATTTTCTGTTGGTGTTTCTACTAATGTCATTCCCAATTTGCTGTGGAGGCGGATAAAGCAGGAATCCAACCACGATCCAGCTTGGCTGTGGTTCCTAGAGCTGGACTGACATAACTCGTTGCCTAGGCAGACGGGTAGAAGGAAACTCTCTGGCATCTGCGTACTGGAACCTAAGCACCAGTCTATTTCCAGATAACCACGGCACATTCCAGGAGCAATCTGTGCTCAGTTGGAATCACACCGTGTTATTAACTCTGCCGTGAGACTGAATGGCACTTCTGAGAGTGCAAAACAAACAAGGCCCTAGCCACAAAGACCTTAAGATGACAAACTGGCTGGCTGAACCTGATCACCTGCTCCCAGATAAAGACAGCAAAGTGAGTGATCCTCTTGTTCTCCCTAAATGTCAAGCACTTGCAGCGCTGACTGAAGGCACACCCATCACCATGCTCCCTCATCTGCTCTCACACTGCATTCCCAGCGCCCCTCCATCAGGCCTGGGAAAACAGCATGAGGGGGGCAGTTGATGTACTGGTAGCAAGAGGTTTGTTCAAGCTTCATTATTAAAATCATAATTAAAACCTTGCCAGTGTACTTTTTTCAACCCAGTTTTGTTTTCCCAGGCTCAGCTGGGATGAACCGAAGCTGGGTTGTTTACGAGCTGGTTTCTTTGTCAATGTCAGCATTTCCAGAGCATTTTCATCCCAGAAACAGCTAACATTGTGGAGGACAAAATCATCACAGGCCCCCACGCAGCTTTGCCAAGGTAATTCTTTATTTAATCAAGAACTAAGCTGTGTTTTGAATATTCATTTACAGGTTTGCTTTTCTCAACTTGATCACACAGTAATATATATGCATGCTTTACTAAACAAGCATGTTGCATCATCATCTCACATATGACCTTCTCATGGCTCTCAGACCCACAGACCGCTTTTGCTTCTAGGGCAAAAGACATGCTCTCCTTAAGGTTATCCAACCCATGAACATCACTTCATACTCATTGAGATGCTCACATAGGTAGAGTAACTTCCCTAAATGCTTTCCTGCCCACCTCCCTCCTTCCTTGCCTTTGAAGTTGCAAGGCTACACAAAAGAACTGGCAGTGGTGCCTAAAACAAAAACCAAGGAAGCACCAGTTGAATGAACCCTTGGAATCTGCCCAGAAAAATCTCTATTAAGAGAATTCTTTGTAATCATCTTAATATTCAGCATTGAAGGGATTCTATTAAAGCAAAAGGAACATATTTAAGATGAAAGTCGCCTCCACTCTTAGTAACAGGTAAAGCTGTGTATTACTGCGTATTATTCCTTCATCAGGGACTATAGCAATAGGATAAGGGGTAATGGGTTCAAACTTATACAGGGCAGATCTAGGATATAAGGAAGAAGTTTTTTACTGTGAGGGTGCTGAGGCGCTGGCACAGGTTGCCCAAGGGAGTTGTGGTTGCTCCATCCCTGGCAGTGTTCAAGGCCACGCTGGACGGGACTTGGAGCAACCTGCTCTAGTGGAAGGTGTCCCTGCCCATGGCAGGGGGTGGAACTGGATGAGCTTTAAGATCCCTTCCAACCCAAACCATTCCACAATTCTACTGAACTGAAAAAAAAAAAACCAAAAAACAGAAAATATCCTGTCCACTCTTTGCTTTTTTATCTTAAGTTTCCTAAAATGGAGCTTCTGCCAACCCCCAAGATTTCCAACTGCACATCCTTTGAGAAAGTTCTCAATGTTCATATTTCCTCTGAAATTCGCAGCTGAGCTTTTCTTGTACTTCTTGAACCCTGTGTGGAAACAAAGTTTGTTTCCCACAATCTTTTCAGTAATTCTCACTAAGGACAAGCAAAACGGAGGCCCCCATCACACCAGATGGTTTAAATATGACAAGAGAGATAAATACAGAGGAACAGTTATCCCCATTTACAAATCGGAAATCGAGGCATGAAGAATGAATGCCGAAGGAGGGCTAGGAGCCTGTGGCA